GTTTAAAAACCAAGTCTCATATCACTTGGGCTTAAGCTAAACAGATTGTGCAGACTTGTCCTCCATGCCAGACGGTTGCAATAACCACATCTCCAATAGAAGCCTTGGGAGTTTCGCCAGGTGATTCAGAAACACCCGTTTGGATTCCCTCGTGTCATCTGAAACCATATCATATCCCACGGGAGAGGCGCTTCACATGAGATGTAGAGCCCCAGTAACGAGTTTTGAAGGCTTGAATCTGAGACAAAGATAACGATTCCCCTCCTGTCAACACATCAGAACAAGATCCCCACTTGGGGACAAATTAAAAGGTTAACACAGAAATCAGAGGAGATCTTAGAAGATGAAGGGAAAGCTGTCACTCCTAACAATCTGGCTGTTGCCTTGTTTGCTCTTATCACCACCACAGTGAGTATACCCCCAAGCAACAGCTGAATCTAAAAATTATACTTATTGGGCATACATACCTAATCACCCACTACTAAAACCCATTGATTGGGGGGATTCTATGATCCCCACTTATGTTAATGATTCTTCCTGGATACCACGACCTGAAGATACATGTCTTCCTCTTTTTAAACAAGAAAAAAGGACTCCCTTCAATGTTACTTATGGGTATGAATCCTGGCCAATTTGTGTAGGACTGGCTACAGGATGTCTTAAATTATCTATGAAAGCCAGGCTGTCCACTAATTCTTTAAATCATAACTATCCTAAGGTTCAGCTACATCTTCTCTCTGGTCTGAGTTTTGCTTATAACAACTCAGAACCCAATAATGACACCAAATCAGACAGACCTTTAGGCGAACATCGTGAGCTGTGGACTGAAAAACAAGATCATATTCAGTGGAATAACTGCTGAGGGACTGAGGGAGTAATTTTGATTAATGGTTCCTATGGAATTGTATGGGACTGGTCCCCTACAGGGTATGCAGTCTCTAATTGCTCTCATCAAAATCAGTCCTGCAATCCTCACAAAAGGCTGCACTGGCAGGTGCATAAAGTCTTTAACCATACCAATATTACCACTCATTCAGATCATCCAACTATACGACATGGTAGTGGCATGTCACCCCCCTTTCCACAATTAGATCAAGGAAGAGGGTAAGAAGATGGACATTATTCCAATAAAACTAATTATTCACTGACATTTAACACCCGTACAAACTGGACATTTTATATTCATGCTTATGTGAGAGATCTTTATGTGCTCTTGAAAGGAACAATTTCTATCAGTGAAAGTGTACAAGCACTTTCTTGCCAGCATTGTAAATTATATACCTGCTTAAATTCTTTATAATTCTCATCACTCATTTGTTATACTAAGAAGGAGATTGGGAATATGGCTTCCAGTAAATCAAACCAGACCTTGGGAAGGCTCCCCTGAAACACATGCTCTTTTAAAGGTTATAAAGAAAGTACTACAATGTTCCAAGAGGTTTATTGGACTACTTGTAGCAGCTATTATGGGAATTATTGCTATAGCCACAACCAAGGCAGTAGCCAGGATGGCACTGCATCAAACTACACTACACTGGTACAAACAACTACACTGGTACAGTATGGCACCAAAATGCAAATTCTGCCTGGAGAAGTCAAACCCACATAGACCAAGAAATTAATGAATGATTGATTGATTTAGAAAATGCAGTTCTTCTACTAGGGGACGAAGTACAAAATTTCAAATTCATCTTAAGTGTGATTGGAATATCTATTCATTTTGTGTCACACCTCATAAGTAGCATCAAAGTGCCTACACTTGGGATCAATTATCTAAACATTTGAGAGTACACGTTTGTGATAATCTATCCTTAGATATTTCCCAATTACAGGTTACTATTTCTAATATACAGAATGCTCACTTACAACTACTCCCAGAAACTGATTTATTTGAAGAAATTTAGGAAAGCTTACATAAACTTAACCCCATGATGTGGATTAAAACTTTAGGAGGAGGATTGCTCAGTACCATAATATCAGGATGTCTATTTTTGACTGTCTTGTGTCTAGTCCTCAGATGCATGAGAGAAACCATCTGAGAACTGATGAAGAAAGAAGTTGCTTGGTTGGCATATCTACTCCTACAAAAACAAAAAGGGGGAGAAGTAGTGGGAATTCCTAATAATGTACTTTCACAGCTTTGAGAAATTCCATAGAAGCAGAATCTGGGAAAACAGCATATATTAAGAAACTGAGGGATTATCAGTTAATGATTATTGTTTATGCTTTTCTTAGAATAATCTCCTTGTTACAAACCCCAAGGCCAGACCTAGAAGAGAGTATAGCTAGGATCATGAAAGCATGGACCATGGAACACAGAGTTGGAGTCAGGCCTGAATGCTGCCTAAACACTTGCTGATTGTTCCTGAGACTAGGCCAGAAGGGAACATCCAGGGGTAAAAACAAGAAGATCTAGACTATGTCAGTATAGTGTCTTGCGAAAGATAAGATCAAAGAAAGCCCTGCAATTAGGAACAAAAGCTGGACTCAGAGTGGACTCTGCACCTCAGTCCAATAGAGGTTTCAGGTCCCCTGACCCACTGCACCAGATTTCGTGTTCTGTCTTCATTCTCGTTGCTTGCTCCCGGACCATTAGGGCAACAGGTCAATGTAACCACTTCTTTATATGTATATATATATATATAATTAAATTTATTTATTTTTAATTGAAGGATAGCTGCTCCACAATATTGTGTTGGTTTCTGCCAAACATCAACATGAATCAGCTATAGGTAGAGCAATGTCCCCTCACTCTTGAACCTCCCTCCCACCTCCCTTCCCACCCCACTTCTCCAGGTTGTCACAGAGCCCTGATTTGAGTTCCCTGAGTCATGCAGCAAATTCCCCGTGGCTGTCTATTTCACACATGGCAGTGTGGATGTCTCCATGCTACTCTCTCCATACGTCCCAAGGAGACTGTGGCTGCTGTCTGGCTCACTCTCTGTCTCTCTAGGATCCCTCAGGGGGTAAGCCAGCTGCCGTGTAGAGACAAGCCCTGTGGAGAGGCCACCGGCTGGGAAAGGAGGTCCTCGGACAATAGCCAATGCGACAATGGGCTTAGATGCAGATCCTCTGCCCTCGGCTGCCTGAGCTGAATCGAAGGACAGACTCTTGGCCAGCACCATGCAGCTAATGTGCTCCCCAACTTCTGTCCTCTAGAAACTGTGAGGCATTAATTTTTCAAAAAATGTTAAACTTTGGGATAGTTTTTTACAAAGCAATAGAAAACTAATACAATTGTGCTGTTTAATTTCTAAACATTTGGGGGTTTCCCATTCCCAGATGCAGTATTACAATGAAAATGCTTTTTCATCATTGTCTATTTCAGCCCTTTTTCTGCTCATTACCTCTCCCCTCTCCTCCTGGGGCTCCAGTGACAGGCGTGTGACACCTCTGGATATTGACCTCCCTGGATACAGGGCTCTGAGGCTGTCCCTTTCTCCACCTCTTTTCTCTCTGGCCTGGATGATCTCCAAGGGCTGCCCCTCTGTGTCCCACAAGAGTGAGTCTCTTTGCCCCACTTGGTCTCCCTTCTCCACCCACCCCCACCCCATACTTTCTCAACCCCTGGGCCCTGGATGTCTGGCCTTCGTGCTTTCGGACTCCATGTCACCTCCATTCTCTCCTTTTCTTCAACCTACGTGCTTTCTTCCTTGTCCTCTGCCTTGGCTGACAATCTCTCTCTTTCACCTGAATGACCATAATGCAGAATTTAATAAAAAAGTTTATTTTCCCTTGGTCTGTATTGAAAAAGCAGACTTTTTTTTCTTTAAAAGCAGTAGGTAATTCAGTTTCATTGTTTACTGTGACCACACAGAATAGACCTTAAGTAAGTTTTTGTTTCTGGCATAATTGCTGATGTAATTGTAGCTGACCCATTAGAAGATTTAGCAATTCTTCTAAGTAAGCAAAGCCAAGTGGAAGAGCATGCTTCATTGATCTCAAACTGAATTTAGCCTGTGTTCTGTCAGTGGAAACATATTTAACCCCTTCATCCTAAGCACTTAACATGCACACAATTAACCTGGTTTCACGCGTCACGTCGTAAGGAAAAAGGACAAAACTCCAGTGGTTTTGATTAGATCTAGAAACATCTGCCATCACAAAAGAAGATGCTAATCACCTGAGGTTTGTTTTATGTTTCCAATGCAAGCACTAATGTAAACACATTAAATACTCAATTCACTCTTTTCCAACCAGCCAATTGGACCATCTTCATCAGCGCCTCTGTCCCACTTGGTTGCTACCAGATGCCTGCGGATTACAGGAGTATGTGAGTGCCCCGGGTCTCACTGCCACGATTTCTCCAGGAGACCTGGATATGAATCTGAGCGATGATTTGTCCAATTTTATCATTTTCTTGCTAAGCTTCTCCTGCTATGAAATCCATAAGCATTCCCAAAGCCCCCAATTAAAATGTCAGTAAAATTTTTAGAAAGGTCTATAACTTTCCAAAAAATAAATCTGCTAGGAACTTCAACCTTGAATATTCATTGGAAGGACTGGGGCCAAAGCTGAAGCACCAATACTCTGGCCACCTGATGTGAAGAGCTGACTCACTGGAAAAAACCTTGATGCCGGGAAAGATTGAAAGCACAAGATGATGAGAGCAGCAGAGGATGAGGTGGGTTAGATAGCATCACCGACTCAATGGATGTGAACTTGAGCAAACTCTGGGAGATAGTGGAGGATAGGAAGTCTGGCATGCTGCAGCCCATGGGGTCATAAAGAATCAGACATGGCTTAACAACTGAATAACAACAAAGGAACTTCTGATGCTGTAGTTCTTAATTCTGTCAGCTGAGATCCCTTGAGAATCTGATAAAAACCACAAACTCTGCTCCCAGAGAATGGCAAGTATGTATTTGGGATACAATTCCAGGGAGTTTAGAAACCCTTCGAAGCCCTCCCCTGAGGCCCAACTGGGAGGCCCTTGCACTAATAGCCTCTGAACATGGCGCTGACAGATGGTGACTGACCCCACGAGCACATTTGCTTACCATTGCTCTAGCTTCCTCACGGATGGATGGAATGGAAAGGATGCTGTACAGAGCTCCGTTCACATACGGCTGTATCTTTAAGGGGAGAAAACAAACAGTCATGTGCAAGTTCTCAAACATCATACAACTCAACTATCACACACCACCCTGGAGAGCAGGTTGGCTGGTGAGGAGAGCGACCACTGCCATCTTCACAGCCCCTTGGGCTCCAAATGACAGACATCTCCGCTGGCATGCTGCAGGACAAAGGTTATGACTGAGCGTTCAAAGCAGAGCACGCACCATTCCCTCCCACAGCTTACTCCCGCTCCCTTTCACTGTTTAATTGATGTCATCCTGACCGCTCAGGTTAGAACCCCTGGAGGCATCCTTGATTCCTCTCTTCTTCCTCTCCAATGCTGAGTCTACAAGTCATCTTTGATGGGAACCCTTCCTGTCCACATGCGCTGCGACAATCCTTGTTCAGATGTCATTGCCCATGACCCGGGCTACATCGAATCGCCAAAGGATCTCTCCGCCTTTACGTTCACCCTTTTATCCAACCATCAAATCATTGCTGAGAGTTTACAACTTGGGCCATATTAATCCCTCTCCCAACCTCGGAAATCTTCCATAAAACTCCCTGCGTGCGTGCTCAGTTGCTTCAAGTTGTGTCCGATTCTTTGCAACCCCACGGACTGTAAACCCACCAGGCTCCTCTGTCCATGGGATTTTCCAGGTGAGGATACTGGAGTGGGCTGCAAATGCCCTCCTCCAGGGGATCTTCCCGACCCAGGGATTGAACCCACATCTCCTGCATTGAGGCAGATTCTTTACCGCTGAGGCACTGGGGAAGCCCCCTAGAAATGCCCTGGGAAGTTAGGGCATTTCTAATGCCCTGATTAGAGAACACAGGGCCCTTCGAGGTTTGGCCTCCATACAGTCTTCCTCGGCTTCTCCCTTCCTGCCACTTGAAATGCACACTGCATAGGTTCCGCACTACTTAAGGGACTCGTAGATACACACAGCACCTGGGACATGCCCTGGGCTGGTCCTAACAGCTCACCTTGCTGGGGATGCTCTTCCCACATATGTCTCTCTGGAAAGTAACCCTTTCCTGAGCGCCCAGAGTGCTCTGCCCTGCTTCTTGTACATCCCTCCACTTCTGTGCTGGACTCAGTGTATTTTAAGATTTATACTTATGTCTCCCCTATGAGCTCTTCAAGGACAGGGCCCAAGTCTTACTCACACAGGTAACCCCACCATTAAGCCAGACAGGACTTGATAAATGAGCCCTCCCTTTGGAGTGGACTGTATGCAATGCTCTCTCCATACCATGGGTGGAGGGGAGGACTCATTTCCCACCACCCTTTTCTAGCACTGGATTTATTATCACTTTTCATTTCTGCTAATATAACAGGTAAGAGAGGGCATTGTATAGTTGTCTTTATTTTCATTTCCCTGATGACTAGCAGAAACTGAACATCTTTTCATGTTTATAGTAAATCATCAACATTTACTATTCTGTAAACTATCCTTTTACATACTTTATCTTTTTTCCCTATTTTTCTCTGATTGACTCTTACTTATCAATGTATAGGGGCTCTTCACACGTAAAGGATATAAAACTTTTGTCATATGTGATGCAAATCTCTTCCCATATGATTAGATGACTGAAGTTCATATATTCAACTATGGGTATCTTTTTCTTTATGACTTCTGGATTTTCATTTTCAAGACCATGACTATCTCATAAGGACACGTGTGTGAGAATTTTGTTTATGTAGGAAATACATTTCCAGACTCCAACATATTATATATACATATTATTATTATTAACTCTGAACATTCATTGGAAGGACTGGTGCTGAAGCTGAATGCCAGTATTTTGGCCACTTGAGGCAAAGAGCTGACTCATTGGAAAAGACCCTAAAGCTGGGAAAGACTGAAGGCAGGAGGAGAAGGGGATGACAGAGGATGAGATTGTTGGATAGCATCACTGACTCAATGGATATGAGTTTGAGTAAACTCTGGGAAATGGTGAAGGACAGGGAAGCCTGGATTGCAGGTCACAAAGAGTTGGACATCACTGAGCAAATGAATAACCATATATATATATATATAACCACCCCCGGGCTGAGGAGGACACAGGTGAGGGTAGAAGTGAGGACGGCCACCCTGCAGGACAACCTGGCAGGACCCTGACATACAGGGTGAGCAGTGACCAGTGTCTACACCCCAGGGACGCTCTGGCCTGGGTCCTCAAGAGGCAAGGGTGGAGATGTCCCCCGAGGACGCAAAGTGGGGGGCAGCCCTGGGGGCTGGACGAGTGAAACGGAAGGGCTGCCAACGGGGGCTGTTGTGCGGTGGCGAGTGTGAAGGCTCTCGATGGACAGAGAGCAACGGAGAAAGGACCTAAAGACGCGGGGAAAAGAGCAAGAAAAGACAGATGGAGAGGGCACTGCTATTTATACAAATTAATCACGCCCACAATATTAAACACATTATCGGGCTATATACACGTCGAGGGACATATATTAAACCCAGTAGAGGAGCGCCATCGTGGAAGAGAGGGGTGAAGGGGCGGGGAGAGGAGGAGGAGGAAAAAAATAACGCCCAGGAGGGAGCGGCACAGACCAGCGATGGCGGCTGTGCTCACACACAGGAAACCGGAAGCCACCTCCTGCTCCGGGTTCCAAAATTTGATCGAAAGCTCTAGCACAGCTTATACAGATATTTGGAGGAAGGTGATGAGCTAAGTACCCCGGGTCAGCCCTCCCATGAGCCCGGGGCCAGCGGCGCTGACTGGGTACCTCGTGGTTTTCATGGCCGAGCAGATCAGAAAGGACCTTCAGCACCACGCCCGCCACCTTGGCGCACATATTCTTCCCTTTAGGAGAAAAACAGCAAAACAGAACAGGTCACGTCTAAACTCAGAGGCACAAGTCAGGCAGATTTAAAAACGAATCTCGGCTCCTCTGCTTATGAGCTGGGTGATCTTGGGTGATCTTGGGTGAGGCCCTGTTTCTCCCTCTGGGGTCCCTTGGAAATCATTAGGGTCCACCTCAAAAGGCGAGGTAGAGGTTAAGTAGCTCAGTACAGGGCAACATGCTCCCAGTGTCCAGGAAGCGGTGGTTCTTATCATTCGGGCAGAGCACAGAGCTGCTCACTATAGGAAACACAAGGAATCGCACTCCTCCCAAGTGCACACACCATCACAGAAAAACCTACAGCTGTCGCAGTGGTTCCAAACATCATCATCGCAATCACTGAAGATAAACTGATAATAATCAAGAAAAGCTGATTATAACCTGATAAGTGCATTCAAGCTAGGAAATTTGCATATGCTATTTTTCAATAGAGAACTCTGAAAGAAGTCCTTTAGTCAGTCAACAACACACAGGTGGTTCAGATTCCATGGCGTCTCAGGGGGAAGGTGCTTCTCACAAGTACCCCTGAGCTATTTATCCAGATAGCCTTCTCCCAACACTGGGACTGCTCAGGGCAGCTCTTCTAAGGAGGCTTCTTCCATTTCAGGGAACAGATCATTTAAGTGAGGTGGAATCTGTCGAGAGCAAAAATCACTCCCTTTATTGATCAAGACATAAATGACCTGGGATGTCACATGGGAATTCCCATCTCTAGGAGATGGAATGGAAAAGGCGACTGTGATTAAGAGCAGGGAGTCTGGGTTGAACGTCACTGCTCTGCCGTAACGTCAGATTAATGTCACAACTTAATCCCATAGAATCCTGGGAACATACTTCTCTGTCTTCAGATAAAACAAGTCATAATTCTTCATTTCCTACCTTTGAATAATGTAACAAAGAGGGGGAAAATATAATGTAATTCAATTTCCTCTTAACATATATATTGCATATAATTGAGTAACATAAACTATTCTTTCTAAGGCCAGAGTGGCATGTTGGCTTTAGGGATTCAATAGCTTTACACCTAGTTGGACATGCTTCACACTCTGTTTTGAGTTTTTCTAAGAGGGAAAAATGAAAGGCAACCCAGAGCCGGGGGAGGGGAGCAGGGCTGTGAGACCTGCACTCCTGAGGCAGAGGTTCATGAGCAGGGCCACCGAGTACTCGAGCGTGTAGTCAGACAGGCAGTCAGGCTCCTTCAAGATGTCAATCAGCCAGATGATGAGGCCATCTTGAATCATCGCTGTCTGCAGTGGGCGCCTAGAATGAGATAGCTGACAGGTGATTAAAGCCAGTAAGAAACCTTCCATGTAAGAGAACACAGTAGTGTGAATGCATATCAGAAAAAGAACTTTATAGAGGTTATGGACTTGAAGGACTGTTTTACTTTTAGGCCTATACAACTGAAACTACAGCAATAAGTTCTTTTTCTTCTTCTTTTGACCACATCACGTGGTTTGTGGGATCTCAGTTCCCTAACCAGGGGTTGAATACATACCCTCTCGTCAGTGAAAGCACAGAGTCCTAACCACAGGATCTCCAAGGAATTCCCAACAATAAACTCTTTACCTTTCAGGGGTATCATTAAACAGTTAAAGAAAAATAAGGCAGCAAGGAGACTTCCTACTTTGAAAGTTTCTATTTCAATTTTTAGAATTAGCAGAGTATCACCTCAAAGTGAAGCGAGTGAAGTCGCTCAGTCGTGTCTGACTCTTTGCAACCCCATGGACTGTAGCCCACCAGGCTCCTCCATCCATGGGATTCTCCAGGCAAGAACACTGGAGTGGGTTGCCATTTCCTTCTCCAGGGGATCTTCCCAACTCAGGGATCGAATCCAGGGTCTCATGAGTTGTAGGCAGACGCTTTACTGTCTGAGCCACCAGGGAAGTCCTCACCTCAAATACTTCATAAATATTTATTGACAGCTTCTGGTGTACTTAACACAGGAAACAGAGTTACAGAAATAGTTCACTGACAAACAGATTTTTACTTAAAATCTAGTCTGTACAATCCAGCACAGGCACTCTGAGCTATGTAAAAATACAGAGATACAAAAAAGAACATAAAACCAGCTTAATACCATTTTGATTCAGATCTCTATAGAGTAAGGGTAGTTTAATAACCTGGATAATACAATTTATATGGAATATTTTCCACCCAAAGTCCTGGTGTGAAATCTTACAGTACCAATGCACTATCACACTGTTATGGTGGATATCATCATGTCAGCCTCAAGAACTGACTAAGCACTACAATAACTATAGTTATTAAATTTCTTCAAATTTTTCAAATACTGTCAACATTAAGCTAAATTATCTCTATAAACAAACAGAATTATGTTCCTGAGAACTCTGCCAGGTCTACATATCTACAGCCATAACTATAGCTTTCCCCCTACAGAACATATATATACTCAGAGTATGTCATTTTTCAGTTGTTAGGTTATCAGTGTGTGTGCTAAGTCGCCTAAATCATGTCTGACTCTAGGCAACCCTGTGAACTGTAGCCCACCAGGCTCCGCTGTGGGATTCTCCAGGCAAGAATATTGGAGTAGGCAGCCATTTCCTCCTCCAGGGGATCTTCCTGACCCAGGGATCGAATCCGTGTCTCTTATGTCTCCTGCATTATTGGCAGGCAGGTTCTTTATCACTAGCGCCACCTGGGAAGCCCAGGTTATTAGTCAGAGTCAGTCAAATATTGACCACATCTGATGGAAGAAAATGTGTTCACAAGAGGACTGACAGAAAAAGTTAGGGACTCAAGGTAATAAAATTCTTAATAGTCAAATAAAAAGTCAGGTGTCATCAGGGAATATAGATGCTGGATGAATTATCATAGGACCCAGTAATTCCACTCCTAGATACCTACCCAGGAGAAAAGAAAACAAAGACTTGTATGGAAATATTCATAGCAGCACTACACATAATAGGCAAAAAGTAGAAGCAAGTAAGGTATCATCAAGTGATGAATGCATAGGCAAAATGTGGTCTATCCATGTAATGGCCTATCACTTGGCAACACAAAGGAATAAAGTGCTGATACATGCTATCTCTGTATGAACCTCAAAAGCAGTATGCCAAGTGAAAGAAGCCAGTCATAAAAGAACACACCAGTAGAGGTAAATCTACAGAAAACAGAGTGGTGGCTGCCCAGGTGAGGAATAGAAATGAAAAGTGACTGCAAACAGGCATGAAGTTCCTTTTGGTGATGATGGAAATGTTCTAAAATTAGACTGTGGTAACAGTTGTACAACTCTATAAATATACCACAAATCATTGACCTGTACACTTAAAATGGGTAGATTCCGTGGTATGTACAGTACACCTTGGGCTTCCCAGGTGGCTCAGTGGTAAAGAATCTGCCTGCCAATGCCGGAGACTCGGATTCAATCCCTGGGTCGGGAAGATTCCCGTGAGGAGGGCATGGCAACCCACTCCAGTATTCTTGCCTGGAGAATCCCATGGACAGAGGAGCCTGGTGGGCTACAGTCCATGGGGTTGCAAAGAGACAGACATGAGCAAGCAACAACAACAAAGTACATGTTAAGATGGTAACGATAACCCTATATGCAAAACAGAAAAAGAGACACAGATGTACAGAACAGAATTTTGGACTCTGTGGGAGAAGGCAAGGGTGGGATGTTTTGAGAGAACAGCATCGAAACATGTATATTATCTAGGGTGAAACAGATCACCAGCCCAGGCTGGATGCATGAGACAAGTGCTCGGGCCTGGTGCACTGGGAAGACCCAGAGGAATCGGGTGGAGAGGGAGGTGGGAGGGGGGATCGGGATAGGGAATACATGTATATCAATGGCTGATTCATGTCAATGTATGACAAAAACCACTACAATATTGTAAAGTAATTAGCCTCCAACTAATAAAAACAAATGAAAAAAAAAAAAAAAAACAAAGTACATGTTAACAATGCTGTCAGCTAAAACAAAACAAAACAAAAATGCTTTTGGAGGACATCAGTTCTGCTTCAAGAAGAGGTGTCTGATTTTTAAATTTCTAATGTGGAGCAGTTGCATGTCATGAGGGGGTCCAGGCTGAGACCACAGGGTGGCTGGCTGAGATGAATGGACAAGTAACCAGGAAGCTCCACCCTGACTTCCAAAGGGCGACTGACCCCACTGACTGTGCTTGTGGATTTATATGCCTGTCTCCCACAATGAACTCTGAGCATTTAGCAGGCTGAGGCTCTATCAGGTTTTATTCCTGTGTTTATTTCCAAATCTTGCATGTGGCTTAAGACACAATCTATCATCTAGCATCTGGTCAGCATGAGATAACATTCATTGGGAGAATACAATGGTGCTTTAACATGTAGGAGCACAATGTGAGAGTTGACCATAAAGGGCTGAGTGCTGAAGAACTGATGCTTTCGAACTGTGGAGAATACTCTTGAGAGTCCCTTGGACAGCAAGGAGATCCAATCAGTCAATCCTAAAGGAAATCAACCCTGAATATTCATTGGAAGGACTGATGCTGAAGCTGAAGCTCCAATACTTTGGCCACTCGATTCGAAGAGCTGACTCACTGGAAAAGACCCTGATGCTGGGAAAGATTGAGGGCAGGAGAAGAAGTAGGCATCAGTGGATGAGATGGTTGAATGTCATCACCAACTCAATGGACATAAGTTTGAGCAGACTCCGGGAGATGGTGAAGGACAGGGAAGTCTGGTGTGCTGCAGTCCATGGGGTCACAGAGTCAGACATGACTGACTGAGCAACAACAACAAAGGATGGTTTAGGGGATTCAAGATAAGCTTTCTAGTTGGAAAATCACCCAATCTCTTCTAAGTATTCACTGAAAAATATCACCCATCCCTTAGACTGTCACTAGGGACAAATAAGCACAAAACAATGGCTAAGAACCCCACAAGGTGATCTCACGGGAGCCACCGTGACCTATTGCACGGTCAGCACCTGAGGCTGAACTTCTGCAGGGCCCCAAGAACATTCTCTCGGGTGACGACATCCTTGTCTTCCTCCTTCAGCCTTTCCTCCAGCATCCGCAGCACCTTCGTGCTCTGGGCGAGGTAGCGGCGACCTAGTAATATGATCAGAGATGAACAAGTAAGAGAATTCATCTTGTGTTAAGTTTCTGCTCTGAAGCCACTTTCTATGAAAACTGTGCATATAACACATGTAGAGTTTGGGATTCCTTGGTGGCTCAGTGGTAAAGAATCTGTCTGCCAAAGCAGGAGATGTGGGTTTGATCCCTGTGTTGGAAAGATCCTCTGGAAAAGGAAACGGCAACCCACTCCAATATTCTTGCCTGGGAAATCCCAGGGACAGGGGAGCCTGGCGGGCTAGTTGGTGGGGTTGCAAAGAGTCAGACACCACTTAGCGACTAAACAACAACTGCAACAAGAATTCAGGTGGTTTTATGTTCTAGAAAACTTACTAAAGCATATTTCATCTGCAAGTTGGTTTCATTCAATCAACTAATGAATAGAAAACCACTTTTTCTGTCATCTAAACATGATTCATCACTGTGTTCTTGTGGGGAGCACTGTCTTTTATTTACTCACGATCTTGAGCCCAAAAGTCAGATCACAAGGGGATGATGGATCTGTTTTGTTATGAGCCCTTTAGTCTTAACATTAGAGGCAGCCAAGTAGTACTTTCTGGACACACCCATGGCCTGGAGAAGTTAGGAACCACACCAGGGACCCTATTATAAGCCCTGAATTGTCACTAGCCTGTGGTAAACTTGTATCTTGATACAGATGACATTAATTTCAGACATAAATTTCAACAATATTATATGAATGGTCTCTGGCAATTACTCTGGCTAATCATAAAATGTTTGCTAAACAGATGGAAGAACAAACAAATGAGAAAATTTTTGGAGTATCACATAGTCACAATCTAAAACTCCCTTCATTCATGTTAAAAAGAGCTCAAATGAGAATTTATGGAAGATAATGGCATTTTGTAAAATCATTTTGAATTCTGTTATGGCGGCATTTTAGTTTTGGAATTTTCGAATCTTCTTGATTTAAGAGGCTTAGTCTTTTACAAGAAATGGTACGGTGCTTATTTGAGTCACTTTAATTATTTCAACCACCTTATTTTGCCTTAAGTAGAAAATGGCAGAGAATGCATTACCTGCTATCTTGAGAGCAATCTAAAAAGTACTACGTTACGATACCAGAAAGCTTATAAAACAAAACCAGAGGCTGACAAAATTAACTCCAAAACCATGAAAATTTGCTCTGACATAAACCACAACCATGGGACAACAGCTAACTTTCATAAAAGACTTTAGAGGCATTAAACAGTAATACATTGAGGAAACACATGTCATTTTTAAGAAACTTGGGGGGAATGTCTCTTTTCCCAGGGAAAAACATAGCCACAAGACCTAGCTCTTCTCTTTGAAGATATCAATAAAAAGGAAAATGTTGCTGCCATATCAGTAAACAAGGGATGCTGGAGCCATCAAGTCACTACAGTCACCCTGGATGGTGAGCCCTGAGGGGGCTCAGCACGGAGAAAAGCAGGACACTGGCCCCAGATAGCTGAGGTGCACATCAAAGGAATGACTTCAGTGAGCCCAGACTCATGCATCTTCCCATATATGTTTGTCTCTAAATTGTGTCCAACTCTTTGCAACCCCATGGATTGTAGTCCTCCGGGCTTCTCTGTCCATGGGATTTCCCAGGCAAGAATATTGGAATGGGTTGTCATTTTCTTCTCCAGGAGATCTTTCTGACCCAGGAATCAAACCCACATGTCCCGCATTGGCAGGCGAATTCTTTACTGCTGAGCCACCAGGAAAGAATTCCTGAAGAGGTCTGGCTTTAACAGTCATCTTCTGAAGTTTCGACTACCTGGTCTTTGTTGCCAAAAGGCCTATATGTCCCGGCTCCTCCCTCATCTCTTCGGAGCAATCTCTCAGAGCTATCTGACATGCCGTGTCCTGGCTTGTCCATTTCATCAGCCAAATAAAACATAATCCTCAACTTTTTTTTTTTCAGTTGACAAGGACAGCTGACATCTTACCTTCTGCTAGGGATGCGAAAGCATTGATGAGCCTGGCCGTGTACTGCCGTACCACCTCACTCTTGGATTGCAGCAGCTGAAGCACACTCCTCTGGGTGGGGTGGGGGGGAAACATCAAAACATCAAACAAGGAAAAACAATGGAGGTAAACACAAGTGAGAGAGAAGCCTGTGTCTCCTCTGAGGGTCTGCTGTAGTCTCCCTCTGCGTGAATTTATTAGAAGTGATTCAGTTTTGATTTCCAACTGATCTTTTCTGTGACTTGGCAAAAGGAAGTTGTTCAGACTTCCGAAGTAGAAGAGTTAATAGTTCAAAGCATTTACAATGGTGACTAACTCCAAGGAGGCAATGCTCTTTGCTATTATTGTTGCTGATGTTTTTCCAGGTAGAATGAATGACCCAGCACACATGTCTAATTTTGCTCCTCCAAAACCACCATAAAACCATCAGTAAATGGAGTTTTTAAAGAGACAGATATTCCCCAGGACAGAGAAGATAGTACCAGAAACCATGACAACACAATTTTGGGATCAGGAATGCAGGATGATAACACACTCAGCAGACCCAAGAATGCCAAACAGGCAATGAGGAATTACCCAGTTTACATCACTTAATTCTCAGAAGTCACCAGAATTGGAGGAAAATCAAGAAGGAATGAAAGCTATAAGATCAGTCCCACATGCTGCTCCTGCTCCGTGTCCTCCTGTGCACCCCATACCACACACCTGGGACGCTCTCTTTTGAGGGCCACACAAAGGTCTCTGGATGGAGGACACCAGGTGCAGGTGAGCAGAGCTTCCACACCAAAGCAGCAGAATAAACGCTCAACAGCCACCCCCTCCTCCTCTCCTACCTGGCTCCCAGGACACGGGCAAGCAAACCCTTACCTACCTACCTACCTACAGAGAAAACAAGAAATCAACAAAAGAACTCCAGAAAATTCCCAGAATTACAGCTGTCAGATTGAAAGGGCTCAAAAAGCACTCCAAAAAATGAATCAAATACACATCATGAAAGACATCAATGGGAAATTCATTAACACTGGTGAAAAAGAAAAGACTCAACATGCTTCTAGAAAGAAAAAAAAAAAAACCAGCTCACATACAAAGGGTCAGTAATTAGAAAGGCTTTGGACTCTTCAAGAGCAACATTGAAACCTAAAAGACAGTGAAGCAATATCTTCAAAATTCTTAAGGCTGATTATTCACAACCCAGAGTTCTACACAAAGAATAAAGATATTTTCAGACATATACAGCCTCAAAAAATATACTCCCCCAATCTATCCTTTCTCTAGAAGCTATTAACTAAAGGCTGTGCTCCACCAAAAAGACAATTATAGAATGTTGGAAACAGAGATCCAGTTCAGGAAAGGGGTAAAAGGAATCAATATATGTTTGGTGGAGAGAGATTTCTGGAAAGCAGCTTTGCCCCAGAGGTGGAGGGCCACCAGTGCAGACTGAATGACTGACTCAAGAAAGTGGCATACTGAAGCCTGTCACCCCCAAGATGCTTATTGCCATTGTGCCATCTTTGTTTAGGTAAAAATTTTATTGAAATATAACATCCACCAGAATATTGCCCAGATCATGAGTATACAGCTTGACAGGTTTTCAAAAAGTGGACATGTCACATCAAGACTGTCACATCAAGAAACACAACAACAACAAAAAAGAAACAGATTATCCAAGCCCCAGATGCCCTCCAAGGGTCCCTATCTAAACCAAGGGCAACATCTCTCCTGGCTTCTTATATCGTGGGTTAGTTCTGTTTTAAATTTTTTAATAAAAAAAGCCATGCTGTATTTATTCTTTTACATCTGACTTTTTTCATTCAATATCATGTTGTGAGACTCATCCATGTTGTGTGCTGTGTGCTCCTTCCCATGGCTCAATGTATGAAAGGAAAGAAAGTGCTATTTGCTCAGTCATGTCTGGCTCTTCGTGACCTCATAGACTGTAGCCTGCTAGGCTTCTCTGTCTATTCCCTTCTCCAGGGAATCTTCCCCACCCAGGAATCGAACCCAGGTCTCCTGCATTGCAGGCAGATTCTTTACCATCTGAGCCACAGGGAAGCCCAATGGACCAATGGCTCAATATATCCCATCTTAAAAATATATCGAAGATGACTTATCCATTCTACTCCTGATGGACATTTGGTTATAGCCAGTGTTCTGGTTCTTATAAATACTGCTGGTATGAACATTCTTATACCTCTTGCAGTTGAACATATGGCACACTTCTGCTGGGATTATATTTAGGTGTGTTTTTGCTAGGGCACAGACTATGCAGTTATAGTAAATACGGCTAGGGTTCCACAGTAGCTCACCATGTAACACATTTTCAAGCAGACTGCAACATACCTGGGCTGGTGAGCCCAGACTCATGTGTACTTGGACACGCCTGCCCACGTGCTGATGAAGTTTCAACTCCCCTTCCACACCCTGCTGCATGGATCAGCTGTGGAAAGTCTGTTCACCCCACAGAAGTGTGATCAACTCCTGAGAACTATGAGCAGACCAGGCCAAATTAAAACCCAAATTAGAGTGCCTCCCCATTCCCCTTGGCCATGCATACTGCTGCTGGATAACCAGCACCTGGGCCACATTTCAGCCCTGCCAGATGCCCTATGCTTCCCCAGGCTCTCTCCTGACTCTGACTACCAGTGTCCCCAGACAAACCAATAAGAGCCCAGGGGAGCTATGCATGAGTGTAATCCAGCGATTTTGTTCACATCACCTTCCCCTAGGTGCCTTCATCTAACCTGGAAATAGTACCCATTCCTTGCAGAGTAAGGTTTGAGCTCGATACTCAGCAAACCCCAAATCAAACACTGTATTATTCCGGGGACATATGTAAATGAGGCTACTTATAAAGAAAAACAAGGAACTGATTAAGATGAGGCTGAGGATGTGCACACCCGTGTTCAATGCAGCATTATTCACAACAGCCAAAAGGGAGAGGCAACTCAAGTGTCTGTCAATAGATGAACAGATAAACAAACTGTGAGACAAATACTTATATCCCAACTTATTTTGGTGTCATGGTGACATGGCATCCATGTTTCCCAAGGAGTTTCCCCATTCTGCAGATTCTCTGACATCTTAAGATAACTCCAGCTCATTTCTTATTAAAAAATAAACAAATAAATAAGCCATACCAATAAAAAAATAATGACCTGAGGAAGATATGACATCTTCCGTGGCTATAAAGATTACAGCATTTTGACAAATATCACGTATCATAAAACCTAAGACACTTTTTATTAGAGGACGTATTTTTTTATGCACAACCAAGAAAGAAAACTGCACTGCCAATTAAGCTGTAACAGGCCATCTACTATTTTTATAGATGCTAGCATGGGGCAGGGGGAACTGCATCTTAGATTTGATGAAATATCATAATTCAGAAAGAATCAGTATTGAATTCTGATTCAATTCAATACAACTGAATTTGAGTTTATAAGTCAGGAGAGTTTATTATTCAGCTGCTTCATGCCTAATTCAACTAGATTCAATGTCATTACAAATACCAACAACAAAAAAAAGGTTAAAGAAAATAACTCTAGAATTTGAGAGACTATTTTTCATACTTAACACAACTCTTTCATGGGAGCAATAAGATAATGTACAAAGAAGAAACGCAAAACCCTTCAGTGTTGCCGCCTGTGTACACAACAAATCACGTGTGACAAGCCTCCTGGAGGGGCTGTTTCATCAGGTTCCGAAGAGGTACGGATACTCCACTCCCTTAACAGTAGGGAGATGAAGGTTTTAGAGCATCCTAGATAAAGATGTAAGTGAAATAATGAGATGCAGTATCCTCTCATTGTAGGCCATGGCCAAGCTCAATATTCCTCCTGTCTGATAACAGGTGCTGAGACCATGGAAGAGGGGTGGGCGTGGGGAGGAGAACCACCATGTATGGACCCCTCCGCATTGGGTACCAAGTTACACAGATGTGACCACACACAACCATCCCACAACCTCCCAAGGCAGGTGACTCGGTGGTGGGAAAGCTCCCTGAGGCGAGAAACTTGCTTAAGGGTGTTGGCCAGTTGTTGGTGGGGTAGAGATCTAAGACCAGTTCATGTCCCTCTAAACCCCATACTTCCCCCACTGCACCATTAGACCCATCTGGTCCAAAGCTCTATACAAATAGTGTGGAAGACATGTGTAAAAGTCAGGCCCAGATGAAAACAACTGGAATCTGCTTCTTTACCTTGCCCATTTTAAGTCCTGCTTTTAAAACTCATGGTAAGCAGGAGCATGAGGGCAAGAGCAGAGACTTTGAGAAGAAAAAAAAAGAAAAATGGCAGAAGAGATGCAAAGTTGAATCAGGCAGTACTAGCTTGTTTACCAGGACTCTGCATTAGAAGTGAAAAGTGGGCCCAAGTCCAGGGTGGACAGCAGATTTCAGAAGCCCCAGGCTGACGTACGGTCACTCTGCTGAAGCCATGCATAGAAATGAAGGGCCTCCTCCTTCTAAGACCCTCCCCAGAAGGGCAGGCCCCGGCTGGGCGCCGGCCCGTCTCCCACCGACCTGGCTGTGGCTCTGACAGTCCAGCAGGTCGTTGCTGATGTAGGCCTGCAGGACGGTCTCTCTCTGCTCTCCGGGATGCGATGTGGTCAAGCGCTAGGACAAAGAAAAGCAAGAGCAGTGAGGTCCAAGTGTGAACGTGGGGAAAAGGCGTTTTCTCATCACAGGTGGCACCAGTAACTGTGCCTTTCACCAAACCAAACGAGTAACACCCAGCTGGGCAGCTGGTCAACCAGCCCACATGTTGGTGAACAAAAAATTACAGCGAACTTCCTAATGGGTGATGCAGGAGTCACCTAACATACATACGCTCCTGAGCAGTGAAAGTGGAAAATGACGGGACTGCACGGGACCAGATAAGGGAGGGTTCCCCAATGCCTGGAGGGTTTTTTTCTCCCCCTGAAAGTGGCTCGAGTTGGTCCTTGAAGGATAAGCAGACTCTCAGGCTTCACGGGATGTGTGAGCGTGGTGCAGGCTGGGAGGCGTGGTCCGGCTGAGGGAGGTGCCGGATGGGGAGGGCTGTGAGTGAGCGCCAGGCCCACAGAGCACACTCATTCTACGGGGGCCTGCACAGCACCGCTGGGGATACTGTGTGTGCATGTGTGTCTGTGTGGGGCATCCCTGGCATTGCCTTCCCTTCTCTTTCCCGGGGTGCCTCTCCTTGGCAGGCTTCCCTGGTAGCTCAGCTGGTAAAGAATCCGCCTGCAGTGCAGGAGACCCCAGTTCAATTCCTGGGTGGGAATGATCCACTGGAGAAGGAATTAGGCTACCCACTCCAGTATTCTTGGGCTTCCCTTGTGGCTCACCCGGTAAAGAATCCACCTGCAATGCGGGAGACCTGGGTTCGATCCCTGGGTTGGGAAGATCCCCTGGAGAAGGGAAAGGCTACCCACTCCAGTATTCTGGCCTGGACAATTCCATGCACTGTATAGTCCATGGGGTCGCAAAGAGCCGGACATGACTGAGGGACTTTCACTTTCTCTCCCTGGCCGCAGCGGGTCGAGTCTGTCTCTGACACCTGCCTCTGGGGACCTCCACCGTTCAGTTCTGCGTAGTCTGCCACTCTGTCTTCTCACCCATGTGCTGTTCATGGTCACACCTAGGGGCTGCCGCTCGTCTGTTGAGCTCGGAGGCCTCTGCTGGGCTGGTGTGAAGGGGCTGAGGTGGGGGTGTTGGAGGGGTCTCAGACGGAATCTTATAAGGATCTGTGTGTTTCTCCTGCTTGTTCTATGATAATGTCATTCAGTAAGCAAAGGATTACCAGGTCTCACCATGAGGCTCACTTGCACAGACAAACAGCGGGAACCCAGTGGATAATCCAAGAGCTCCAGGGAGGCTGGTAACCAGGGCAGCGGCAAACCTCCGGGCAGGTTACTCTCATTGCCCCACCCACTCCAGTCAACTGGACAGAGCAGACATGCTAACTGGTCGCTGGACTCTTCCTGCTGGTCTGGGAGCACTCACAGTGCTCCCAAAAAACACATTCCCGGAAGTGCTGCCAGCCATCAGAGTGCACGTGAGGAGAGCTATTTTTATCCAGAGATGGAGAAATGACACCAAGGTATTTTGATGTCAAGACAGCCTGAAATGTGGGGATTCCTGAAGAGGTCTGACACTACTGCGGGTCAATCAGAGTAGACTGTTCAGTTAAGGAGTGAACCGGTATTGGCTTGCACCAGCGGTTCTCAAAGTGTAGTCTGGGGAACCCTGGGGGTTCCCAGAGTCCCTTCAGAGGGGTCTACAAGGTCACAATTATTTCTATAATAATACTAAGATATGTTTTGTCTTTTTAATGATTAGTTTCTCAGAGGTTAGATGAAGTGTGATACTGTGACAAACAACGTAGAAGCAGAGATGAGAATTCAGCTGTCCTCCATCAAGCCAGACATTAAAGAAATTGATAAAATGCAAACTAATGTCCCCCTTCTAATTTTTTTAGTTTGGAAAATAGTTACTTTTCATAATGTTATTTATGTTATGTCCTTGGTTTATTAGTATTTATTTATTTATTTTTATTCTTTGGTCAACCCACATGCATGGCATATGAGCTCTTATTTCCCCGACCAGGATTCAAACCCACTTCTTCTGTAATGGAAGTGTGGCATCTTAACCACTGGATTGCCAGGGAAGTCCTACTATTGTTCATTTTAAATGAATTAATAAATATACATTTTCTCAGTTTTAACTGCTAACACTATAAATTTTGGTAGAAAAAAATTCACATAAACAAAACCTCTTGGAGTTCCTCAGTAATTTTTGACCATGTCAAGAGGTTTGAGACCAAAAGGCTTGGGAATCACTGCCTTAACTGTGATCAATCTGAAGACTGGGGAGAAAAGCAACCATTTATTTATTTACTTACTCATTTTTATTTGGCTGCACTGGGTCTCAGTTGCAGAATGTGGGATCTAGTTTTCCGACCAAGAATCAAACCTGGGCTCCCTGCATTGGGAGTGAAAAGTCTTAGCCACTGGACCACCAGGGAAGTTTCTATTTATTTTTTTAATGAAGTCTTTTTTTGTTGTTTTCTTTTTTTGCCTGCCCCTTGACAGGAGCAGCGCCCCCTGCAGTGCAAGGGCGGAGTCCTAACCACCAGGACCCCCAGGGGATTCCCAGAAAAGCCGCTGTTTAGGCTTTATATTCCTTAAAGACTTGTTAATAAGTTTTCTCTCTTGATGTGGCTGCAGGGGAATATCTAAATCTGGAGATCTCTATGGGGGTCAGTATGAGAGGGACCCCGAGCTCTAACAGGCTGACGCCACCAGCTGCAGGTCTGACTCACAACCAGGGAAGGGGCCAGAGGACAGCGTGACTCCAGGGCCTGGAAATTGCGTGTATCAAATCATCAAGTGAGGGTAATGGCAGCTTTAATGTCAATATAAGGGTTTTTTTTTTTTTTTAAGAGACCACAGTGATTGTTAGAAGCTGCTTTTTTAATTTTAGCTCTTGGTATCAGCAGGCAGCAGGAAGAATGATTTTGAGAAGATGGGTTGAAAGATATAAGCAACGGAGCCAGTCAAGAAAACCAGCGTGGTCTTTTTTTTTTCCTACTTCAAGAAAAAGGTACGTACCCAGCGTAGAGCCTGCAACAAGAAGGCTTTCAAGCGGTCACTCCCCAAAATCAAATCCTTCTTCAGTTTCTCATAATCCAAGGAGGGCAGTAACGGGACATCCTTCAATTTCCTGCTCAGCAACACAAGTTCAAAGAGAAAGAAAAGGGCAGAAGGGCACGTTCATTATACCTCCTGAGAATCATTACGTCCCATCTTGAGCGGCTCTGACAGACTAGTCGGGCAGGGGTCCACTTGCTCTCCCTGTGCTCCTGGCATCAACCTCTACCGAAAGGGCTGGGTTCCAGGCCCCGACCCTGGCTTCATAGGGCTCAGCTCTGCCTCTCTTGTTTATGTACCAAGATCTATATACGTTTTTCTAACACGAAGAGTCTGCCTAATGGCTATGGAAACCACTGCATGCACAATAGACCAGGGCTCCACCAGGGCTTCCAAAGGAAGAAATCGCGTTGGAGACCTCATAACTTCCCATCGAAGTTCTAAGATTCTGAGCAAAATCCAAAGTCTTATTAGTGTCAGCAAGCCCCTAGGGTCCTTCCTAAAAACCTGTCCCCCTCAAGCCTGAGGGGTGGGCTTGGGGGGATGTGAAGGATAGTGAAGTGAAAGTTGCTCAGTCGTGTCTGACTCTTTGCCACCCCATGGACTGTAGTCCATGGAATTCTCCAGACCAGAATACTGGAGTGGGTAGCATTTCCCTTCTCCATGGGATCTTCCTAACCCAGGGATCAAACCCAGGTCTCCAGTATTGCAGGCGGGTTCCTTACCAGCTGTGTCACAGGGGAAGCCCAAAGGACAGACCAGGGGTCAGAAAACCAGCCTGAAGATGAGGCGCACCTCACTGACCCTCCAGGAGGTAGGAGGGTATAGCCAGGAAGCGGAAGTGGGGACATGCCGGTGAGGCGCGTAGTAAGTAGGACAATTTGCAAACCCTCCTCGAGAGGACCTGAGGCAGACCTCAGGCTAAGGCAGGTTTCAAATCAGAGAGATGTCTGTTCAGAGATCTACAAGGTGCGGACGACCCGACACCTGCATTTGGTTTACCAGAAATGGAAGGAACCATCTTAGATGCCTTGTCTTTTAAACAAGCAACCTCACATTTTGTTTTGTTGAACAGAAGGAGATTGGAGGGTACAGAAAAATTGAAAACTGAATGATGTCTGGACTGTCTCAACGTTAATTTCCTCATTTGGATGTTTTACTACAGCCAGATGAGATGTCACCACTGGGAGGACACTGGAGGACTCAACTTCAGGTGCATCTGTAATTGTTTCAAAACAAAAAGACTAAAAACTAAAACTGTGCAGAGAATATTAATATTCAATGAGGATTCATTAAGAACTGAGTAAAAAGACTAAATATGTAGGGTTTCATTTGTTTTTAAGGGTGGAGTAAAAACGGTTAATATTTCTGGGAGGTAGGATTGGGGGTTCTTTAAAATTTCTTCTTCATATGTTTCTGTGGAGTCAAAATTTCTATAATGAGCATGTATTACTTACATTATAAAAAAAATGTACATGCTAGGTTATTTTTTGGCCACACCATGTGGCTTGCAGGATCTTAAGTTCCCCGATCACGTTGGAACTCACAACCTTGGCAGTGAAAGTGCAGAGTCCCAGTCACTGGACTGCCAGGGAATTCCCTTAATGTTAGTTTTTAAAAGACTAAATGAGATCCTCTTACAGTGCCCGGAAGAAAAAGCTAGAAAAGAGGCACTGAATAGGGTCTCAGTTAACATTCCTGGGGAAGAGCATCTTCAATTTAAAACAAGCAAATGGTAAACCTTTGTACATGACACATTGATTATTTTGATTTTTTTCCCCCGGAGGCAGATATTATTGTAAGTTTTAAAAGTAATACAAATATGTTAAAAATTGCAATTATAAATAGCTGGCCAGTATTCTTCAAAAGTGTCAAGGCCACAAAAGACCAAGACTGAAGAAGGATTTCGAAGTAAAGGAAACTAAGATGTGCCAGGACTAACACGTGTGATCCTGGGTTGAGTCTCAGTCCACAGGAAGGACATGGTGGAACAACTGGTAAAGTGTGAGTAAGGCCGGCAGGTTAGATGACAGTACTGCTTCAGCATTAATTTTCTCATTTTGATAACTACACTGGGCTTGTGTAAAACAGTAACACTGGGGAATCTGGGTGAAGGATATATGGGAATTCTCTGTACTCTTTTTGCAACTCTGAAATTATTTCAAAAGTAAAAAAAGAGAAAATTAAAATTCAAACAGTCTCTTTTCTAGACAAAAAAATTTCCATTTTTAAAACCAAGTTTGATAATGTTCCATAGCTGGGGAGCTTCTACTGTAAAGAGGAAAAACTGTCCTATTTGGGCCATATTTACTTGCCAATAATGGACTGATGCTGATGCTAAAGCTCTAACACTTTGGCCACCTGATGTGAAGAGCCAACTCATTAGAAGGGACCCCGATGCTGGGAGAGATTTAGGGCAGGAGGAGAGGGGGCAACAGAGGATGAGATAGTTGGATGCCATCACCGCCTGGATGGACATGAGTCTGAGCAAGCTCTGGGAGATAGTGAAGGACAGGGAAGCCTTGCGTGCTGCAAAGAGTTGGATATGTGACTTAAGAGACTGAACAACAATGGCAATATTACCAACAAGTTGCTCAACAGCCTGGCATTTCTGTGGTCCAGCCACTCTCCCAGGGTCCATGAGGAAACTGAGGTACAGAGAGGTATAAAAGTGGTCCACGGTCACAGAGTCTGTGGCCAAGGGGGTTTTAATCCTGACAGTCTGTGCTCGTAAGCACCACATTCTAGAGCCACCAACTGAAGTGAACCAAGTGCACCGTCCACGTCAGGCTCGGGCAGGATGGAGGGAGGAGGAATGCTGTGTGAACCACATGTGTCTGTGTAATCATCTCACAGCACCCAGCCCACCGCATCCCCCACTCCCCGCCACCCAAAGCTGGCTCAGGGGGTCACCAGAACCCACCCTAGTCCTCATGTCCATGCCAAAGGCTCTCGATTTCCTTGCTACTGCAACACACATGCCTGGGAGAGCTCCCCACCCCCTCGGGGGACAACCTAATGCTCCAGCACAACACAGAGCCGTCCTGTGGCCCTGGCCATGGTGTGAATCAGCGGAGAACGTGAAATGTAAACACTGCAACACTCCGCTGACTGCCTTATGACAGGAAATTAAATTGATTTCTATAAAACATTATAAGAAAAATTCAATGATTTTTCCATTCGATGCTACCTTGCCAACATAAATAGAAATAACTTTAAAAGATATTTTTATAAGTATTTTTGGGGACTTAAAAAAAAACTTATTCCAAACATATTTGATAAGTATTACTTATAATTACTGGTATTTCCTTTAATACCTACATGGAGCTCCAGATAATTAAAGGAATTCATCTAAATTAGGCAATTAAAATGAGAATTTATTAAAAGCACTTGGAAATCCATTTTTACCCATAGCTGTTCCCCTTAATAACAATTCCTCAGAGCAGTTACTTACACAGGTGCCAAGGAGGCTCTTAACATGGTTGAAGCCTGCGGGGGAAGGGATAGAAGGAAACAGATTGTGTTAAAACACTGAAAGCAATGCACTAACCCCCAATCACTACAGTGGCACAAAAACAACAGATTTGCAAAGTTTTTCATCCATTGGATTCTCCAACCATAATCAGATTCAATTTAAAAATTAGCACCCCCCCCAAAAAAAAGGAAAAAAAGAAAAGAAAAAAGAAAAAAAATAAAAAATAAAAATTAGCCCAAGTCCAAGTTATGTAACACCTTACTGATGCATTTCCCAAGCCACCCACCCTTGACATGTTGCTAAACTCCACTCCAAAGAGCACTCTATAAAACCCCGGGTGGGGTCGCCCTGACCAAGCTCCTGGAGGAACTTAAAGCTGCCTAGTCAAAGACATTATAAAGAATAAAAGCAATGAAAATCAGTTTATTATCCTGGTTTTATTAAGATTTTATCTTTGAATATAAAAATAACACATGCACTTTGCACGGAGTCAAACACTATAGAAATGTTTATAGAAAAAATTCACAAGCCTCCTCCCATACCACTCCCTAAAGGGGATTTAAAGATCGATCTGTCTATAGGCCAAATCACAGCCTACTTTATGGGCATGTCCCATTTATTGTTTTCTTGCTTTCTTTTTGCCATATTAAGCATCCACTACAATAGAGAAAGAACCAAGTGCTGTGAATGGCACTTGTTTGGATTGACGCAAACCAACCATAAAGGACATTTGAGAAAAGAAGGGAAATGTGAAAATCTCATTGGTATTACGATACTAAGGAATTAGTGTTAATTATATTTGGTACTGTGGTTATGTTTTGTTTGTTTGTTTTTTAAAGCCCTTAGCTGTTTGAGATGTATACTGAATTATTTATAGGTAAAGTAATAGATAGTCAAAGCTATGGTTTTTCCAGTAGTTATGTAGAGATGTGAGAATTGGACTATAAAGAAAGCTGAGCACCAAAGAATTGATGCTTTTGAACTGTGGTATTGAAGAAGGCTCTTGAGAGTCCCTTGGACTGCAAGGAGATCCAACCAGTCCATCCTAAAGGAAATCAGTCCTGAATATACATTGGAAGGACTGATGCTGAAGCTGAAACTCTAATACTTTAGCCACCTGATGCGAAGAACTGACTCATTGGAAAAGACCCTGATGCTGGGAAGGATTGAAGGCAGGAGGAGAAGGGACAACAAAGGATGAGATGGTTGGATGGCATCACTGACTCTGTGGACATGAGTTTGAGCAAACTCAGGGAGTTGGTGATGGACGGGGAAGCCTGGCGTTGCTGCAATCCATGGGGTCGCAAAGAGTCGGACACGACCAAGCAACTGAACTGAGAGTGATAGAATGTTTATAATTTGTTGAAGAGAACTCTAGGAGGGAAAAGCTAAGTAAAGCAGAAGAGAGGAAGTCTCAACCATCTGTGGGGCCTTTCCAGAAGAGGCAGGCGGTGGTACTCTGCTTCCTTTATGTCACCACAATCCTCGAGCCTTATCCATGCTTATCATATTCAATGGTGGTTATTTTGCAGCCACTTCTGTGTCCTTCTCCTTTAGCAGACACCGAGTTCCTCAAAGGCTGGAGATACAGCACCCTTGTGTCCCTAACACGAAGCAGAGTGCCTGGACCACAGAGACACTCAGTCAACATTTGCTGAATGAATGAACAAGACTGACTTCCTAAAGGGGCACTTCAGGGAATTTTCTGGTGGTCCAGTGGTTAGGACTCCGTGTTCTCATTGCCAAAGGCCCAGGTTCAATCCTTAAGATCTAAGATCCCTAAACCACGTAGCCAAAAAGAGTTTTTTGTTTTCTTTTAAATCTTCAAAAGTGGGCACTCTAGGGCTTCCTTGGTGGCTCCATGGTAAAGAATCGGCCTGCCAATGCAGGACACACAGGTTCGATCCCACATGCCGAAGAGCTGCTAAGCCTGTATGCCACAACTACTGAAGCCTGTGCTCTGCAACAAGAGAAGCCCACACACCTCAACTGGAGAGTAGCCCCCGCTCGCCAGACCAGAGAAAAGCCCGAACAGCAACAAAGACCCAAAATAAATAAATAAAAAATATTATTTTAAAAAATAGAATCCGTTTCAGAATCCTTGACAAATTTAACAAACAACTGTAATAAATCAGCCCTGTTGCCACTGTTTCCCTTCAAAGTATTTACAGACCTCCCAATTCTCACCTCGAAGACAGAAAACCCTGCTTTTAAATGGCTCATGACCAAGTATGTTTTGCATTTTTTAACTCTTTGACTATTTTTTTTTTCTGGCCACACTGCATGGTTTGTGGAATCTGAGTTCCCTGACTAGGACTGAACCTGGGCCCTTGGCACTTCGCAGTGAGAAAGCAGAGCCCTAACCACTGAGCCACCAGGGAATTTCCTTTCCTTTTTTTTTTTTTTTAAACCCTTGACTTTTTTTTTTTTTAATTGAAGAAACTACCTGTTATTCCTGTTACTGGCTTAAGTAGGAAGGAGTTCAGAAAATAAGTTGGGAATGTCAACTACATTACTCATCTAACACACTAAGAGGATCAAGGAGCCAGGAATGAGTCAATTAAGGACACAGCCATAGTAAAATATTAGCATAATATATGCACAAAGAAAAATATTTTAAAATTACTGATATTGGCTAATTCACATTTCCACAAATAAATTCACTTACATACATCCCCTTTTCTCGTAATTAAGAAAACCTTTTCTATCTTTCAAAAAATTGATTCTTTTCCTATTTTGCTAAATTCTATGTCATTCTATTTGTCCTATGAAGAAATTAACTGAAAAGTAGTAATAACTGACCCTTTCATGAGAAAAGCCAGTATGTCAAACAGTATCAAGACTTTTATCCATGCATGCATGCTAAGTCACTTCTGTTGTGTCTGACTCTTTGTGATCCCCTGGACTGTAGCCTGCAGACTCCTCTTGTCCGTGGGATTCTCCAGGCAAGAATACTGGAGTGGGTTGCCATGCCCTCCTCCAGGGGATCTTCCCAATCCAAGGACCGAACCCATGTTGCATTGGCAGGCAAGTTCTTTACCATTAGCATCACCTGGGAAGCCCCTTTATTATCCAATCAAGTAAAAGAAAACAACACCACCAAAAAAAACAACAACACCAAACTGGTGATGAGCTGTAGGAAGAATGGCTGAGCACGCTCTTAATGAGAAAGGAGAGGTTATGGTATTTCATTAAGTCCTTACTGACTGTTCACCCAATAGGCCTCTGCTAGGCACTGTTGATACTGGTGAGCAGGCAAAGGCCCTCTTCTCAGACAGCTTGCAATTCAGTGGGGAGAATCAGTGATCAAATAACTCTCCGCACCAAATCTGCAAGATGGGGGCAATATTATACCAGTGGGTGCAGACGCCAAGGAGAGCACGTGGAAGTCAGCCTCGCTTCCCCCTCTTTTCTGCCCATCCACCCTGAGCTCCCTGCACTGATGGGGGTGCTGGAGCTGAGCGGCAATGAGCTGAAGTTATGAACTGGGATGTTGACCTTAACACTGACACCCCGGTAGAAGCTTGCCCACAGAATGGAAAGCTCACTGCAGGTGACAATGACCACTTCCTTCCCCGAGGTGGAGGCGTTAGTAAGAACACTCAAACACCTCGGGGGGCAGGGGAGGGGCCTGCTCTGACCTCTCGACCAGCCTTTACACTGGACGGGATTTCTAAAGGTCACTGCCACCAGCTGTGGGCACTGCTCTGCAAGCAGGTGGGGTGGACACAGATCCAATGGTCTGGCCAAGGAAGGACAGCCCCAGGGAGAGAAGCTGGGAGAGAAAGGGTCCAAGTCCATCATCAGTTGGAATCATTTCCCTCTCGAGCTAACACTGGATTCCGAGTCTGGACGATGGGCCCAGGGAGCTTCCCCTCGCTAAAGGGCCCGACTGCAGGCCACGTGGGTGCTGTGTGACCTCTGGTACATTACGCTGGGTGGTCAGGGCGAGGACCCCAAGGCCTGGGGCACCAGAAAGAGACCGGCATCCCAGCCCACAGTGGACGCTGGGCGCAGGCAGGCGGTGCTTTCCCAGCTGGGGAAACACAGTGTGAAGTTGCAGCAACCCTTTCCGGGCCCAGGCAGAGGCCAGTGGAACAATGAACATAGGAACCCATCGCTGAACCTGTCATTAGTCACTGAGCACCTCTCCCGTGCCGGGCTCGGGGCAGGGCTCTCTGGAACGCTTGGGCGTGGGAGAGATAAACTGATACCTGGGCTGAGAGTGACAGGGCAGAGCTATGCCTTCATCACTGCTCAGCCTGCAGGCCAGGGACCTGAGCCTGGCCCTTGGGGTAGAGGGGCCACACGAGCCTGGGACAGCTCTTGGTGACAGCGGCAGGATGAGGGGCTTTGCTAATGACCCGTGACAGCAGGAAGTGTATTTAGAGAAACTGGTGTGAGGTGTGACATGCCGTGAGTGTCCCTAGGTCATGGGGACTGCAGAGTAGTCCCCATGGGGACGGGGTAAGCGGTCCCTCACCATGGGCCTTCTCCAGATGCCGGTGTGCGGTTGTGAACCTCAGGACACAGCGTGTCTCAAACTCATGACATCAACGCTTTGTCTGGGGACAGGGCCACCCTGTGGGGCTGGCTTCTGGGCACACATCTCGGAAATTGCTGTTCCAGAGGACACAGTCCAGGGAGGGTCAGGATGAAAGAGCCGCAAGGACACCAGGGACAGGAAGGCCCTGTTTGGGGCCTGAAACCTCCTCAGACCAGGCCAGTCCGCGGTCAGCCCTGCTTCCCAGGCCCTGCTCACACAGGACTAATGCTGATGTAGCGGCCGCCTGTGCGGTGCAGACAAAGGCAGGACCCTCGTCAAAAGACCTCACAGGGCATGATCGCCAGGAGACGTTAAATAACCACAGGACACTTGAGGGACTGTGTGCTGGCCAGCGGGCAGAGAGGCCACGAGAGCCGGAGACCCAGGGAGCATCCCCACCACCTGGAGAAGGGTGGCTGCTATGGCCAACCCTCTAACAGGAGGTGCAAAACTCGAGAAGGCAGGGGT